ATGTAAAATGTTTTGAAATTTGAAAATGGTAAAATTGAGATTTTATGTGTGTTAACTAGTAGTTACTATGTTTTATTTTATAAGATGTTAGATAGTTAATTATATGTGGAAAGACTAATACATAGGCTAATTTCTCTAAAAAAAAAATATGTAAAAAGTGTCAAAACATGACGAGTAAAGGTGAGGATAATTTATTGTTCTTTATGTTAATATAAATATCAAATACACAAAACACAAACGTTTTTGTTAAATTTTAAGAAGTTGCAAAAAAATGTCACAACATGACTTCGAACCCGTGTCTTCTAACTCATGTGCGGATAATCATTGATAGGGAGTGTAACCAGTTAAGCTGATGAACATTAAGTGTTCATTGAATTCCTTTATTTATTTTTGCACTTATATCCAAAACTTTTTTTGTTCTCATGAAAATCAAATTTAATGGGCCAAAACCGATTTAATTGGTTTAAAACTCGGTTTGAATCTAATGAAAATCAAAAGATATCACGACTTACTCGACAACATGAAAGATTGGAGTGAGATATGAAGCATAGACCCAGTCTATTAGACCGGTCGTTAAAGTCTTCGAATGTGGTAACGTGAAGAGACGAAGATTGATCAAGAAGATCGGACTGAGCGAAACGGAGTGATGTCCGGTCTATGCGTCCGAACTTTGGGAGTTTCGAAAAAAAACCCTTTGTCAATATAAATTAAGGTCAAAATTGGGATTAATTGAAACTAAATCATAATGGGACATTCTTATAGAGATAAAAGTGTCATAATTTAGCAAATTTCTCAAGATTAAAACTCCACCAGAATTAACTTGATTTTGTCATGCCCCATTTTTGTCAATTTTGACCAATTTTTGGTCATCTTAATTTCCTGATCTTCCATTTTAATGACCAAGAGAATCACATTTTATGGTAGGGAACAAAAGAAAAGTAAAGATTACGAGTTTCATCTTTTTTTCTCACTTGCGTCATACCATTTCGACGAACCACATAGTCACAAAATGTATCACAAGCTAGGTTGCACTGAGACCGGTACGGGGACAAGAAAYGGGGACGAGCACCGGGATGGAAAACGGTAATACTAAAAATTTATGTATACGGGTACGGTAGGGATACGTCA